GATAGATAGATAGATAGATAGATAGGATAGATAGATACTTTATTTATCCCGAGGGAAATTCTAGTATCCAGTAGCATACAAAACATACATTAAACATTAAAATAAAATTAAAAATATATATTATTATTATAACACATTAAGGATGTGAATGTATTAACAATTATCCTTAAATGTTCGAAAAGCAGCAATACAGGTTTGGGTGCGCCTTTTTAATAAAGCCATACTTTATTACAAAAAGGCATTACTAAAAGATTTAGTAACATTGGTAAAGCTATGATCAGAGGTCACACTTGCCACAGACCCATGAACTGTGCACCTGAGCTGCAGGGGAGATGAAAGAGGATATCTGTGGTCTGTAAACTATTGATGAGTGGATGACCTTTTAAACACCTTTGAATGGCTGTAGGTTGTAGTAAATAATGTGTGCATGTTGTAAAAGTTGGTAAGCCATCAAGTCTATAGACTACAAAAACATGATAATTCATGTTCCACTAAAAAGTCTGCAGTCATAATTGTTACCAAGATAAAAGAAAAGCTCTGCTGTCCTTTGTTGTCCGAAGTTGTCAAAGGATTAAAAGAATGAATGATGATGAAAGAGCTAAAAAGACAAAAGCAGGAGACAGCCAAAAATAAACCAACTTCACAACTTGGCAGAAGTTCATTCAGCTTATAAATCCTTTATAACATTTGTGTCATTTGAAAGCGGTACAGTCACAGTAGTTATAGTTATAAATAAATCACATTCCCAATCTTACTAAAGTTGAATTTACAGCACTTCAATCATATGCAATATTATCCATACTGAAAATAATCTCAAAGTATTTGTCACTGAGAAGAGAAGAAAAAAAACATCCAATTATGGAACATGGAGAGTTACAACAACACCCATTTCTGATAATAAGGTGAGGATAATACCTTACGGCAAAGCTTGTCATTTTAGGATTTAGGCTGACACACTAGTTAGGATACTCACAATTTTGGATATCGTTGACCGTGCCTGGTCCATTGCTGCTTCACAGGAATCTAAAAAGGGAAACAAACAAGGAGTCTATTAGTGAAGCATCAGGCCTGCAGACTGATCGGTTGTTGTTACCTTTATCACAGTTTGTTTCTAAAAATGACAATCCACTCTACACAGTCTAGTCTACACAAGGGATGAATGTTTTATACTCAAAGACAGATTTTAGGTAGAGTATTATGTACTTGTAGGTATAAGTGTCTGTACAGTGCGTTACTGTCTCACTTATGGGAATAATGGGGGTGCCCAAAGAACACGTCCCACCTCTTGTCCAAACATCTATGGGGTTTCCTTTGCTGCCAACTAGAAAGGCAGCACTGTTTCTAGGCACAAAAGACCAGTGTCCAGTGCAGGTCAACACAGACTCCATGCCTTCATGTGAACTCCATTGCCAGAAGAATACAATTACAGAATAACTAGCCTCCCACTAGCTTTGATCCAGAAGACAAGCCAAACCAAGCAAGGTTTCAATTCAAACAGAGGAACAAGACCTGAAATGCAACTCTTCTGTATATATTTTCTTAAATACTGTGGAAGAAGAGGCATGCGTGTGATCGTAATCAGGAGAGAGGGCGTGCTCTGTATGGTGCTGCAGATATAGGAGGTCAGACTGGTCCTTTTTATCCCAAAACAAACATTTGATCGTGACTGATCAACTACTATTACTTTGCTCATGTAGAGTATTGTTTTCAGCACAGTTCCTATACGTATTATTATACCTATACCAGAACAGTCATTTATTTTATGAATGCACATTAAGGTATGAGAGAAACAATGTTGCAGTATAGAATTTATGGCAGCTCAGTGAATTTTCTATTGCTTCACTGATATCTGACACTTGGGACACTGCAGAATCACTTTATGGCTTTCTCTGGCATTTTCTGAATGCTGGCTATGGACTGCCTTTGAGTAACAGCTGGGACAATTTTGTGAATCCAACCGACTACATAGCCTGCTTCATGATATTTGCCAATACTAAAGGAAACCAAATACAATGTAATTATTTAAAACTTAACAGATCAGTAAAGTCAATAAGAGAATTTAGCTGTGGTTTAGCCGGCAACAGTGTATGTGACTATCGACCGTGGTCAAGAGGAAAAGGTTGACAAGTAGTAGAACACATGTAGTAACTCATGTACTGAAAAGAATAAATTATTTGGTTAACATGAGAAGTATTAACATGTTTTGACCAATCTGGTTTGTTTCGTTTCTTCTTTAGTGTACGTGTACCTGTACAACAACAATGTAACTATTCTACTGTAATGGGAAGTTACTCAATGAGTGCTATCACTTCCTTGTTCTCTATAAAAAGCACAATGGTGGGCAGGTGTAGTTTTTTGTTCAAATAGGTGTAATACAAATGGATGTGAACAATAGAAGGTTACATCATGTTTCTACAACAATAAACACTGAACAATGTACATGAAGACAACTCAAATGGCTGTCCAATAGTTAACAAGGAACAAAAGGCTATAGAACATCTTAGTTAAGGGGCTCTGTTGTTCACTTGACGCAACTCACTTGAGTGCATTCTTGAAGATGCACTGGAGAGACGATACCAGTGCCTTGCACAACAATTTGATATTTCCAAACTCATCTTTTTCACCCAAAAGAGTGAAAATCAACTGAGATCTACGCATTCAAAGCCTTTGCAAATTACTGCCAAACTGAGCATTTGACAGTGAAATCCTCTGACAGAGGTTTATCCATGAAGAGCTAGTAGTATTTAACAGTTCCTTCTACCATCCAACTGACCTTTAAGCCATAAGCAAAGCAACTCTTAACAAACCCTAATCCCAGTTTTAGTGTGGAGACGTGATGACTTGACTGAGAGAGCACCAATGAGCTCTCTCCTACCCTGTCAGACCTTGAGAGAAAAACAAAACTCTTCAAACGACCCTGGTCTTATCGAGCCTTGAGTTAATCCAACAGCTCTTAATCAACTTGTATGTGAGAAGTAAATGGGCTCAGGGGTTAAACCACAGCGACTGAACTTCGGACTGAATGAAACCGTTTTGTTGACCGCAGGTTCAATCACAAACCACACAGTCCAAAAACGGTCAAACCTGGCTCACTTTATATCCCCACCATCTGCTCAATGCAACTGCAACAAAAGTGAAACTGAAAATAAGAGAAAACTGAGCCTGTGTGTGGTGATTACGATGTGTGCCGCGCAGCTAGACAGCAGAGAGAAACTCTTAATGACCCCTACAGGCCAATTTACAAGCTCCACTGGAGGGAGATCCTAAAGTGGACATTGCGTGAGGAGAGCTTGTGTGAGCAAATGCCAAGGGGACAAACGATCAGGGAAGCCTGCCCTAATTTGCAGCTCCAAAGCATGGCCTTGCTTCACTCCAACAGCAAGCCTCCGAGACAGCATAGATAACAGGCCTAACCTTGTACTCCAAGTGCATTTCTATAAAGCAAATGAGGGCGCAGACGTGTTGGAACCCAGCCATACAATAACTTAACTGGCTATTCTAGGCATTATGAAGTACAGCTAACTTTAGAACATAGTTGGCTTCAGACCGCCTCCCTTGCCTTCCATAACCTTGTGCAGGGTGATACAACCCCACTAAAAACAAGTAGTTTAGATGTAAAAGGTCACAAAGTAAAAAAAAAAAGTGAGTAGCCTGACATTTTGTCTTATTCATAGCCCACTTTACAAACACAACCTACAGACAGCTGTTAAATATGGACTAAAAAAAAATGGAATCAGAGCAGGCTAAGCAGCTTTGTAAAGCTAATTGCTCTCCAAGATGTCTATAATCTTACATACCAAACATACCGGACCTTAATACTTTAATCAGATTAGCTACTCTTTCAGTTGAGACATATGGATATGAGCAATATAAAACACACAAAACACAAAATCAAAAATGCACAAGTATGCGCACAAACAAAAAGCAAACTCAAACTCTCAACTCTTAACAGTACTCCACCAACTCCACTAAAATGTGTCAGCCAGCTTTACGTCCTTGAAGGGGGTCATTTGCTAGTAGCAGTCTGTGACCATGACTAGGAGGGACAACTTGTATCTCCATTGAGTATTTTTTTTTTTTTTTAGACACATGCGTGTAAGAGATAGTAAGAGCAAAAGTCACGCCCTTCTGGGAACTGCACTCACAGGCAATACCTGTTAGTCAAATAGGAAAGCATGCTACCCCGCCTAAACTTAAACAAGAAATGATGTTGGAGCGAGTTCATGTACGCACTGAGCAGTCAAGGGCAAAACAATTAAATGTGTGGAACTGTTTTGTAGTCTCATCGGTTATCATCATTATTTAAATTTAACCTCAAGGACTCCATAGCCCTGCAGACAGATTAAATATCACCATTAGCATTTGACAGGCCACAGGCCACTTTATCTGATTTCCAAGGTCAAACATGTTGCTAAAGTAGCTTCCTCATAGTGTTAGGTCAACCAATTCCTTTGAGAAGAAAAAACAGTAGCCATTGCTTCATAAATAGGTTATAGAAGCTGTGGCAAGAAGAATGTGTTCTAACATTACAACAGCACTATTGTGAACTCAGCTGAGGGTCACTAAGGGGGTGGGGGTGGGATGACGGGAGGATGGGTGAAGAAGTTGCAAAAATGCCTTCTCTCATACAGTAACTGAATCAATCACACTCATTCACTGAATTGACTAAAAACGTGTGAACATGAATGTTATATTCCACTGTTAGCTTACACTTAAAGTCAAATGTAGCGGTACACTATAAACTGCTGATATAACTCAAGTTACATACAAGTCAACATTACATACATAATTATTACCAGTCAGTGCAACCTCAAATACATCTGTCATAACAA